TCAAGCGATGGTTCACCTACGATATTGAAACAATTTTTAGATAAGCCAATGATGAACAAAAGTAACAATAATTATTTCCAATGAATTCATTAATAATATTGTCGAGTCAACTTTTGTTCATAAAATTTTCAAAAAATATATTATTTTTATTGATTTGCTTATGTTGAATTGATAAAAGTTATGTTTTTTTTTTCCATTATATACATGGAGGATATAAGATATGATGACATTAGTATATTACCATTTTGCCATTAAAAACATGTGAAAGTAAGGGTTTTTTAGGTAGTTCATTTTTTAATTGTGAGCGTTGCGCTGTATAATTATAAAAAGAACCAATTGGTGGAGAGCTTGGCTGCTCCTCCTAAATTTCAAGTTGAAGTCTGGTGATATATAGTTGTTCAACTCTCTTTTTTGGAAATATTATCTTTTACATTAATTAGAGTATTTCATAGACATAGAATAAAAATCACTAAGGAGCTCCTTAAAAGGAATAAAAAAACAAACACTCGTCTTTTGGAAAATAAAATTAAAGTCATTCGTATGAGGGGTAATTATCTCAAGCAAATACAGTTCACTTAAATTGAGTAAAATTATGAAAAATTCGTTTTCTTGCACGGGCATCTTTGGGGACAAATAATCGATTTCGTTTTTTTCTCCTAAACCATAAATCTATATAAATATAAAAAAAGTTTGACATTTACCTAAAAAAGTAACTATTTTCCCGCCTAAATAATTCAGTTTACTAAAGCTGGAAATAAATTGGTGAAAATTTGAATTTATTCTGATTATGCTTTTTGGAAATTTCCATTTATTATGGACAAAGGATTTCTGCAAGCAAAAATGATATTTTTTTCTTTTTTTTTTTTTTTGGTATGATTGCCTATCTCTTGATTATTTGTTATGATCGGACATTCCAATGTTCTAATTTTCTTTTTATGAACCTTGGATATCAAATGTTAAATTATAAAAATCTGGGACTTTTTGAATATATTAAATTCAAATTTCAAATGTACAAATATGGATAATAGATAATATTTTCTTTATTTTAGATTTGTTATTTATATGCATTGAACATCTGTATTCTTACAAAATTTCTATTTTATTAACACATAAACATATAATATTGAGAATATTTAATAGCGCACAACTTATGAATTCAAATATTTTTAATAAACAATTTTTAAATATTTACAAATATTGACTAATTACATTATTATGTGATCGTTAGCTAATTGGCATGTAATCTGGTGATTACAATTAGATCAAC